GAGAAGAACCCGTCCAGAAGACCAATACAATTTTTTTCTTTTTAATTTTTTACCTGGATTACTGAGATGCATCAGGACATTTCAGACAAGGTTTCTACCTTGTAAGTATAATGATTTGKAAACACATACATTGCATTGTACATATCCACAACTATCAAAGGAGCCTTATTTTAAAGTGTAAGACATTATAAGTGTTTACAGATGAATRATAACTATTTATTAAGCAATCTTATTGTAAAGTGGTACYCTTTCTGCTAAATGACAAACCGTGTTCATGCCAAACAGCAACACTAAACACACCATCACTTACRTCACCATCATCTGCAGATTTGGAACAGAGAGGAACAGTGAGGACAGAATTTTCCTTGGGTAAATCCTGGTAGTATTTATTGGAGTCCATCGTGAAATTATTTGCGCAAACCACAACTTTCTTTGGCAATATCACAGGGACATTGCCATCAAAAAATAAATAAAAATCAAGCCACGCATCTCTGTTCTCCGCGATTGTTGTAAAAACAGCAGAATTAATGCGGTTCTTCTGTAATGAAGTGGGCGGAGTCTCTACWTGGATTACCAGGTGAGGGGCTGGATTGCTATATTGGATTGTGCCGTAACAATCTACAGGTTTTTGAAACAGCTCATTATCTGACTCTAACAAAACATTTACGTATTGTCATAAAGCAGCTGAGAGTATTTCTTTGGCGCTTGGACTGTTTCTGGAAGCACAGACCCAAACTGAAGCATAAAAACATGTAAAAAGTGAATTTAATAGGTCCCCTTTGAATGTTTAATTCATCTTTAAGTGAATTTACAGCCTCAATCTGAACAAGTAGGGACGTTGTGTAAAATGTGAACAAAAAGCAATGTTTTGCAAAACTCAGAAACATGTTTTATTACACGTTGAAATTAAGAAATTATACAATGTTTTGGAAGAAAATTATGTAGTCTTGAATTTCAAAACACAGGACAGGACCGTGTTTATCACATCAGAGAGGCCAAGTATTTGTCTTACTACCAAATAGTTTTGCCTCAAATTATTTTATTTTTTTATTCACCCACCTTCACATTCAACATTTCATTAAAACGTAATCATATTTTTAAGGTTATCAAGTGCCAAGGCCCCAGCACCTGTCATATTAGACGGGAAGAGGCTGTCGGGGGATGAGGAGGATGAAGACGAGCAGTTCCTTGTGGAGGAAGCAGCCCCCCTACCCCCTGATGTTCCTGAGATAGTGAGAGTAGGTGACATGAACATTGATAGTATCGGAGATAAAACAGATTTCAAAACTTTTTATATAATCCTGTTACAGGAACCTGGACAAGAACTGGACAGTGAAGCAAATCATGGTACAGAAACATTTATTTATTCTCTCCTTAAAAAAAAAACCTCAATACTTTTTTTTTATTTCTTCTAAATTCAAGTGGAAACAAATTTTTCGCTGTTTCTTTCACTGCAGGTGGGCTCGTGAAAAAGATCCTTGAGACCAAGAAGGACTATGAAAAACCTAAAGACCAGGTAAACATTACAAAGATAAGTCATTCTTTCCATCGCCACTAGAGGGCAGTATTAGGCAAGTTCTCCAAACTGTTGTTGTGACTGATTTAACGCTGGGATCAGACGTCTCCACCAGTTTCTTTCAGGAAAGTTTGGTCCCAGGGAACACGTTTTAACCACAGACTCGGTGCGACGCTGGCTTTTATCAAAAGAGCCGTGTAAACAAATGGAGTGTAGAGGTGTAATTGCAGTGCCTCAAAACCGCAAAAATGTTTCTTTTCAGTGGAGCTGAAGGGCTAATAACCAGACAAGCAAGTATGGCCCCCCTACAAGACCACACGCAATTAATACACACATCTAGATGTCTGGAGCAAAACGAGCCCGCTTTCATGGCTTGCTCAACTCATTTGGTATTTTAAATCTTTATCGTTACAGATTTTCCTGCCCTCTGCACAATTAAAAAACACTCACGAGTCATGGAAACAAGATTTTAAAGATTTTTTTTATTATTCACATTCCTCTTTCTTGTAATTATATGAGAAAACAGTCAATGTCAACTAGTTTTTATCATCACCCGCTGCAAAAAGGCAATAACTACTTATTAAACTTTGTCTTTTAATGAGAAAAAGATCAAATAATCATTAGATTTGCTTCTATAACTGATTACCTTTTAGAGCCAGTCCAATTCAACATGGCTGTCACAACCAATTAATCTTAGAAAACACAAAATAACAACACAAAAATCACTATAATTCTGTTTAACATTTTCATTTCCCATAATAAGATGATCTAAGTCTAAGACTGGCATAAAAAGTGGGCGATAGGTTTTTGTTTTTATAAGAAATGTTAGACCTTTAGTTCATTTTTGTGTTTTAATCCTCAGGATTTTATTTCATATCTTCTCTGATATCAGCTTTTTATTTTTAATGATGACGCATTAATACCATTATTTATAGATTCCTTTTTGTAAGCCGTTTTCTAAGCCAAAGGGAGTGCTCTGCCATCCGTATTTTGGATTTTAAAACTGTTTAAAGCCGACAGTTTGGTCTGAGCTCCTTGGTGTGAGGTGGCGTATGCCGTCTGCTTTGGGTGGTCCACTTTACTCAAGCGTGATCTCCCTTGCATATCCCATCCTAGCTGACCACCCTGACTGTGATGGATGCACTGTTTTGGCCTGTCACTCGTGCAGAAAAGACCCTGATCTATTTCTTCCTCACTGCGAACCTCAGACGTCATCCCTCATGACTCGCAATGGCTGAAATCCGCAGACAACGAGGTTCGACAATTACCTGTTTGCGCACGTGGGTTTGATTGTTTGTGTATACCTAAATACTTCAATTTCCAGTTTGACCGCACATGCGAGGAGTCGTAACACAAGGGGTAAAAGAAACCGAGCTCTTTGAGAAACACGAGCCTGCAGAGATTATCCTAATTTTCTTAATTCAACCTCCTCAGTTTTCAGGGCCTCCAAGCCTTCATTTCAGGGCTTTCATGTTATGCTGCTGGTCTGTAGGTGAAGCTTAGAGCAGGTATGTCTGTTCAGAGATGCTGTGACTCCTTCACTCCACCCCTCCATCATTCCTGGCCTTGCCTCGTCAGCTGTATAAGGAACTATAATGACTTCCTTCCTGACATGAAAGGGTGGCGAGGTCAGCTTAATGGAGCAATTTCTCTCTTTTTTTATTATCGTAATCACAGTGAAACAGACAAAAATGTAAATATTGAGCCTTCTTATTCTGTTTGGTTTAACCAATTTATTTCCTAATAGCCTCTATTTACAGAATGAGTCGGATTTGACATCATAATTTAAAAAGTTAGCCTTTGAATTGTTGTTTAAATTTATTCAAGCATTTTTTTCATCTTGTTTTAGTTCTTTGTCATTCCTGATTAAAATAACCCCCTGAACAGAAAATTTAAACAGTCACATGACTGTATACAGCCATCACTCTGTGACTGAAGTCTGCTGTATATTTATGGGGGTGACCCCTCATCCTGACCCTCTCGGCAGACTTGTATATTATTTCAAGATAGTTCCTTTTTTATTATTTAGACAGAATCTGCCCTTTGCAACAGCTGCGTTTTCATAAGAATTTTTGTGTACTCTTTCTCTCCCCTCGTCTCTTTAGCCCATCAAATTAGCCTTGATGAAGGTCTGTAATGTATAAATAAACCCCATGGCACACAAATGGATAGCTGTTGAGTGAGAGTCACGGAGGAGACGGGCCAGAGTACTCTCTGCAGAATTGTCAGGAAAATAAATATCCCTCTCTGCAGACCTCTGTGTCTTCATAAACATCCAGTTTTTTTTTGTGGGGGGGTGGAAACACGAGGAAATGACCCAGTGGCATTGGGTTAGTTTTTACTTCTGCAGAGGGCATATTGGCAGAGTTTACTCCGTTTTAAAAGAAGCCCCCTTTTCTTAGAGTAATCTCACAATAAGTTTCATCTCTTCAGAGTTTCCTTTTAGTTTGAATGCAGTAAACATTGTGGTCTGTTAGAAGAATCTCAGTTCATCCCAAACCTCAGGGTGGTGATCTTTGTCTCCCCAGGGGGTGGCAAATGTGACCTTTTAACAACATCCTGTAACCTCAGAGCTTCTCTCCTCACTTCACTGATTCTCAACTATTTTTATTATCTAGTTAGCCGTTTTATGAAAAACAAAGAGGCAGCCAATAAACAACGACCAGAACCAGTTTTTAACTCCACGCTCCGCTCCCTGGCTCAGCTTTCAGACCGTTCAAATTCCGGAACACCCTGTAAAAAAAACTCTCTATTCAAGTGGACAAGCTGGGAGAACTGGAAAAGTCATTTGTCCTTGATCAACAACCTACTGAAACAAAACCCGTTATTTTCAGTTTGTCATTGCCCGCCACCGAAGGTGAAGGGGTGATGATGTCTGTGTCAGCTTGACACATTGCAAAGGCAGCACCAAAGTGCTGTACAGCAGAAATAATAATAATAATAATGATAATAATAATAAAGTAATAGTGAAAATCTGAAAAGAACAACACACACCATAAGAACAAACTAATCAAATCAAACCTGTTTTTAAAACTTTCCCATAAACTTTGTCTGTTAGCAAAAAATCTGGAAACCTTCAGAATATAATCACTAGTTGTGCATTTACATTTTTACAGCTTTTAAATTTGCAATCAACTCATCCAAGCCACCACAGCTAATCAGATGTATCCATCACAAAAAGAACTACAACTTAGTCAGATTTACAGACATTGAGCTAAAGTTTGATGTTGTACCCAGGAGTGGTCTGCTAACACATCCAACAATATGGCATGAGATTTTTTTGAGTTTTTTTTTTTTTAACGTCAGTCAAGCTAAGCAGCAGAATTGGCACCCGCCGCTACAAACTGCTCAACAATAACATTAGCATGCTAACGCACATAGGAATAGTGTCCCCCGAGAAACAGTTCACTGGCCGGCCGCGACCGTTCTGTGAAGAAGTGGGCGGAGTCTCTGCTTGGGACGAGTTGGGCTCAGATTGGTGACATCACAGGCCACGGGAAGTTGAAAAGTTGACATTAATATACATGAAAAATACATTTACTTAGAGAAAATATACCTCTGGGTGCATTTTTTTTGGTCCTAGATCTATTTTTTTAAGAAGTACTTACCCAAAGTTGAGTAAAAAAACCTTTAAAAGTTGAATTTTGCATAATAGGTCCCCTTTAATGTCATTTACAAGGTTTTGCCAAAACAGATATCTTTCTCAGCATAAGATGATCTTAGTGTAAAACTTATAATCTTTATAATCCACTCACTCAGATCAGCTGATGGGTTGGTCCAGCGGGTCTCTAAATCTAGACTCAAACTCGGGGGTGGGGGGGTGGGGGGTCAGTCTTTTGTTGCAGCAGCTTCTAAACTTTGGAACGAGCTGCCCCTCCATTTCTTAAAATTCATCTTAAAACCCACTTGTTCTGTTTGGCTTTTGACACTGTGGAAGGCAGGGGTGTCAAACTCATTTACCACACGAGCGTTATGGAGGCCCAGTTATAGTTAAGGTTGATGTTTCGTCTTTAACTTTGACTAAACTGTGTTTGAACACGTCCTCTTATAAACACTGAAAAGTACTACGTGTACGACTGACTAAATGTGAAATAAATAGTACAGAAATAATATAACAAGTAAAAATAAGAGTTTTACTCACTGTTGAGTTGTGGTGAGTAGCTACCATCTTGAATTCTGAACGTTCCCACTTTCTGACAGGGAATTCCCATGGATGATCGACATGCATTATGGGAGCTGTAGTTTATGGTCGATGCTGCTTTAAAGCAGCTTATTTTAACATGTTAATACTGTGCTATCCAACTACAGTAAATTGCTCAGTGACCTAAAGCCAACAGTGCAGGGGCAGGACAAGTATTATCTTTCATCTTTTAAATTTGTTTATTTTGTTGTATTTAATCATAAATTTAAAATATGCTAGTGATATAAGAAACAATTTTCATATTGAGTGGACTGATATTCACTCGTTTCAGGAATTCTAGGTCTTTAGTTTTATTATTGACTTCACAAAACTTGAGGGTGTCAACATTTCACTAGGAGGTCATCTTTTTCGGACAGTTTTCTTTGTTGCAATCTTAAAAAAATTAATAAGTTTTTCCATTCATTGCAGATCTTTGTGTTTTGACCTAATTTAATCTAATAAAATAATAGTAATTATCATAATGAACTGGTCTCATTCTAAGAGAAACTAGAGAACCTGTGTCCTGAATTTCTGTTTTCCCAGTTAATGACACCCTAAAGGTTGCTATAGCATCAGCAGTTTCTCTGAATGTGTGCCATTTTTCTTGTCAAGGGATACTTTGAAGAGTGTTATTCTTTTTTCCCCAGAAAATCCCCAAAAGCAGTCTATAAATCACATTTTAGGACGCATTTCCTAATGAAGGAAATTAGGCGTGTGATGACGGGGTGATTTTCACACTGAACCATTTCTCGTAGCGTCACAYGCATTTTCGTTCTCTTGTAAATGAAATGTGACCACTTAGTTTTTAGTTAATGTGGGGGAAAAAATTACCAAAACAAATATTTTACTGGCAAGTAAAGAAAGGAAATATTTAAACATGGAGTTGTTTTCTGATATGCCTGTCTGCAGGACAATGTTTTAGATACAAAACTGAAATTTCGAGTTCTTTAATTTTTAATCCACCCCCATATTTCTTTCACCATCACTTCATCGGGTCCCACCCTTCCCCTCCCACCCTGCTGTGGTCACCACGTCTAAATATTGTTGTGTGACCCTGGGCGAGAAAARGGAAAACTCTGGGTGCGCAGGTCTTGTAGACCCTGACAGAGACCTCCATAAAGCTGTGATTTATATCTACCAAGACAGAGTGCACACGAACAAGGGGTTATGTTTTCACACCAAGCTTTTTTTTTTTTATTTTCCAACAGAGTCAGACGGGGGGGATTGGGGCGGTGGGATGCTGAAGTAGCATTGGGACGGCAAACAGAACAAAGCTGTGAGTCCTGTCTGGGCCATGTAGACCAAAACCACAGCTAGGTCGAATGAGCCGTAGGGTATTTGTCTAGCTGCAGGGTTCGCGGCACCCAGTGGAAAGCCACCCACCTTGTTGGGGTGGGGTGTGTGTGGGGGYGTTGAGCTGAGGTGTTTCAACCTTCACACTTTCAGGCTTGGCCATCAGAAATGAAGACTTGCTTCCTGAAAAGGAATGGAAGCAAACAATAATGTTTGATATCGTTTCTACGGTGCGGTTTTGTTTGGCCAAGCTGCCTGTCGGGACTCAAACTTGTGCACAGTTTGGTTTATTTGAGAAGATGAATGTAGGGATACAGTGTCACACAGACAAGATTTTAACAGTATTTTTAGGAAAAAAGGTTTTACCACAAACTTAAATGACTGATATTTCTCTGATGTAATTTCTAATAAATCTCTTCAGACCATAATTGTGGGAGAACCTTTTTTTCGCAGTGTTTTCTTGAAAAAAAAAAT